TCCATCCATCCATCCATCCATCCATCCATCCATCCATCCATCCATCCATCCATCCATCCATCCATCCATCCATCCATCCATCCATCCATCCATCCTTCCTCTTATCCAGGATCGGGTTGCGGGGGCAGCAGCCTCAGCAGAGAGACCCAGACCTCCTTCTCTCCAACCACTTGGGCCAGCTCATCCGGGGGAATCCCAAGGTGTTCCCAGGCCAGCTGAGAAATATAGTCTCTCCAGCGTGTCCTGGGTCTTCCTCTGGGCCTCCTCCCAGTGGGACATGTCCAGAACACCTCATCCTAACCAGATGAACCACCTCAACTGGCTCCTCTSGACGTGGAGGAGTAACGACTCTACTCTGAGTCCCTCCCTAATGACTGAGCTTCTCACCCTATYTCTAAGGGAGAGCCCAGACACCCTGCTGAGGAAAATCATTTCGGCCGCTTGTATCCACGATCTCGTTCTTTCGGTCACTACCCAAAGCTCGTGACCATAGATGAGGGTAGGAACGTAGACCGACCGGTAAATCGAGCTTCACCACGACAGATCAGTACAGTGCCCACATCACTGCAGACACAGCACCAATCCACCTATTGATCTCCCGCTCCATTCCTCCCTCATTCGACCCCGAGATACTTAAACTCCTCCGCTTGGGGCAGGACCTCTTCCGCGACCCAGAAGAGACACTCTGCATTTTTTCAGCTCAAGACCATGGTCTCGGATTTGAAGGCATTGATCCACATCCCGGCCGCTTCACACTCGGCTGTGAACCGCTCAAGTAAGACCTGGAGATCATGATCTGATGAAGCCAATAAGAACACATCCCTCGAGAGAGACACAGAGTAGATTAAGATGCCTCCTTTGGTGGGAACATCCCTCTGGGAGGAGGTTCTAGGGCAGACACAGGACTTGTTGGAAAGATTTTATATCCGCTCTGGCTTGGGAATGCTTTGGGATTCTCCAAGAGGAGCTGGAGAATGTTACTGGGAATGTCTGGTTCCCTCCTGGACCTGTTGTCCTCACAACACGACCACAGATAAGCAGCAGAAAATGACCTACCGGATATATATTCAGAAAAAAGCTGTTTAAATGTTTTTGTGTTGTTATGGGATTTGAAGTAGAACCTGTTTGGTGCTCATGTTTGATTGAATTACTGTAGATAAAATACTTTCATTGTGCAGACTATTGTGTTGATCTTGTTGTCTTAATTTACCTCTTTGGACAAAGTTCCATGTTGATGATCTCTTCTCCCATTCCCTTCTTCCTTTCTCCAGAGTTCATGCGGAGTTCCTGTGTGGATGCCGGCCTCATCCCTCCTCTAGTTCAGCTGCTAAGCTCCACGGACCAGGAGGTTTTACTGCAGACTGGCCGAGCGCTTGGTAACATCTGTTATGACAGCCGTAAGTAGGACTTTGATTTACTCAGTGAATACAGAGTTAGAACTGTTGTTATTGCTCTGGTGAGTACTAAAAAGCATAAACAGTTTGCATTTAAATTTGAACAAATGTTTGCATCTATAAACAACAGACCTTACAGCTCAGGGACACAGCTACAACTAAATTAATTGATTCCTTTAACCATGTGAAATAACAAGTATATTTTCAAGTTTTTTCTTGTACGGCATTAACGTAATCTGCTGTGTATTAATTACCAGAATAGGTCAATAAACCTCAGCTGAACAACACTACATGATATAATACACTGTGTCATTACTCATTTAACTAAAATCAAGCAGAAATGCATCAGCAAGCGAGAACTGAAATAAATTCACCTGCTTCTACGTATATCATTCAGGTGTCTTCTCAAGGATGAGAGATTAAATGTAATTAAAGTAAGTTGATGCCCATCAGTCTGGGAGGGGTTAAAAGTCATTTCCAAACTTTCTGTAGTCCATAATTTTTACAGAGAGAAGGATTATTCACACATGGCAATCATTTTGGACCGCTTCCAATCTATACAGGAGTCAAAGCCAGCAAATGASCCTGAAGGTCAGACTGTGCAATGCTCAGAGAAATGATCGAATAACCCAAGAGCTGCATCTCAGACTCTACAAGCATCAGTGAGCAGGTTAAAGGTCGAAGATCATGGCTTGTTTTGAAAAGTTTAGGAGAAAACCTCTCCTTTCTAAAATCAAAACAAATCTGAAGCACAGCAGATCAGCACCATCAGCTCCTACCAGCTGTCAGCAGGGTGGTGGAGGGCTGGTATTGTGGATGGTTCTAGAGTGAGTCCATCTGTCTGATAGCTGAAGTTTGGTCCAAACTGGATCCAGCAGAAAAAAGATGCCAGGATGGCTCAAAAAATTTTTTGGGACGGGACTAGAGCTGGACTAAATCAAATAAATTGTCAGAAAAACTATCGAACAACTATTTTTTTTAAATTACTTTGCAATTACTCTGATGACATTTTTTTAAATCAAGCATACATGTGAGCCAGTGGTATATTGCATTAATAAAGGTGTGTTGCCGGTCCACACTGTGGAAAAGGTGGACTTCCATTCTTAGCTTACTATTGTAACCTGTTAAAAAAGACATTTGTTTGGCCAATGATTTGTAAGTACAATTTTACAACACAGGGTCAAAAACATGTAAGCGCAATTATCATCCATTTATCATCATATTATTTGTTACTGGCTAAATGCTGCAAATAATTGTGATTAATTTATTTGCCAATATTGCCCAACCCTAGACAGGACCTGCAGACCTTAACTAAAATGAACGTGTGCAAACTTCAGTGAATTGAAACAATGTTGTAAAGAAGAGTGACACAGATTTCTCAAAAACATGAGTGACTGATGGCCATTAAGACTATATTTCTTTAAGTTATTGATGCTAAAGGTGGTTCTGGAATTAACTTGATTTTGGAGGAAACTTAACCTTTGGCTTCTGCATTCTGACTCTATTTTTTATTTATTTTTTGTTCAACAAAGATACTATTAAAGTGGCAGGTACAGGGAGTGGCAGCGGCTAAAATATCTCAGGAACTCACCCAAATGAGTGGATTCTGCATTTTATACTGGATTCCATTTTGTTGGTAAATTCAGCAATTGAGTCAGCGTGCCCTACTTTACCGTCCAGTTCAAGTCTTTGACAATATATTTTCTGATTACCATGGCTCCAAATGGTTAAAATGTTCCACATGGCTGATACTTTCACTCACACATTTGTTAAAAGTCATATCACCGTTATTGAAACATTTTAGTTAGTTATGTTTATTCATTTCTTTAAAAACATAAATTCAACAAACAACAAAAATACAAATCATAAATTAAATGAAAAATAGCAGAAGAAAAAAATTGTATTATTTGTGCCCCTTATCTCAAATAAAAACAACAACAACAACAAAATAAAAAAAGAACAACAAATTTTCTGTCTTGATATATACTCACCGGCCACTTTATTAGGTACACCACGCTAGTCACGGGTTGGACACACTTTTGCCTTCAGAACTGCCTTAATCCTTCATGGCATTCAACAAGGTACTGGAAACATTCCTCAGAGAGTCTGGTCCATACTGACATGATGGCATCACACAGTTACTGCAGATTTGTTGGCTGCACATCCATGATGAGAATCTCCTGTTCCACCACATCACAAAGGTGCTCGATTTGATTGGAATCTGGTGACTGTGGAGGCCATTCGAGTACAGTGAACTCATTGTCRTGTTCAAGAAACCAGTCTGAGATGATTCMWGCTTTATGACATGGAGCGTTATCCTGCTGGAAGTAGCCATCAGAAGATGGTACACTGTGGTCATAAAAAGATGGACATGGTCAGCAACAATACTCAGGTAGGCTGTAGCGTTGACACGTTGGTCATTTTGCACTAATGGGCCTAAAGTGTGCCAGGAAAACATCCCCCACCACCATTGCACCACCACCTGTCAGAACTGTTGATACAAGGCAGGATGAACCATGCTTTCATGTTGTTGATACCAAATTCTGACCCTACCATCCGAATGTCGCAGCAGAAATCGAGACTCATCAGACCAGGCAACGTTTTTCCAATCTTCTATTGTCCAGTTTTGGTGAACCTGTGTGAATTGTAGCCTCAGTTTCCTGTTCTTAGCTGAAAGGAGTGGGACCMGGTGTGGTCTTCTGCTGCTGTAGCCCATCCTCCTCAAGGTTTGATGTGTTGTGAGTTCAGAGATGTTCTTCTGCAGACCTCAATTGAAACGAGTGGTTATCTGAGTTACTGTTTCCGTTCTATCAGCTTGAACCAGTCTGGCCATTCTCCTCTGACCTCTGGCATCAACAAGGCATTTGCTCCCACAGAACTGCTGTTCACTGGATGTTTTCTCTTTTTCAGACCATTCTCTGTWAACCCTAGAGATGGTTGTGGGTGAAAATCCCAGTAGATCAKCAGTTTCTGAAATACTCAGACCAGCCCATCAGGCAACAACAACCATGCCACGTTCAAAGTCACTTAAAGCACCTTTCATCCCCATTCTGATGCTCAGTTTGAACTGCAGCAGATCATCTTGGCCATGTTTACATGTCTACATGCCTAAATGCATTGAGTTGCTGCCATGTGACTGGCTGAATCCACATTTACGTTAATGAGCTGTTGGACAGGTGTACCTAATAAAGTGGCCGGTGAGTGTATATCACTGTTGTCATATTGTCCAGCACTAACTTAATAATTTAAAAAGTGGATTTAACAGGATATTCTCTTTTTAATGTGTCATGTGATGTTTGTATTTACATTATTCTAAAACTGCTCAAATATTAGAGATAAAAACAACGAACCAGCTCATTTTTTGTTTGTTTTAATGCTCCTTTGTTTTTCCTTGACACAGTCTCAGATTTAGTTGCTAATTGCCATTAATTATTGTGAGCTTCCTGTGTATAATCAACATGCACCAAACTAAAACACAGGACTGTGAAAAGTGCTTTAATCCCACCATTGAGAGTCGTGTGTAAGTGCGTCAAACCCATTTGTTCTGAAATAATGCAAACCAAAAACAAAAGGATCACAGCTTATCTGGCTGTAATCTCACTGAGCATACTTTTACTGCATCTGCTGTAAGAAATGTTACGTCTGCATTTGTAGAGTGACCTCGGGATGCGCAGCAGAGTTTAATCCTTCAGAGGCTTTATTCACAGCTGTTACTTTTGATCCAGAGCTTCTTGTCTTGTTGAAAAAAAGTGTATCTCTTAGAGTGAAGGGTGGTCTCAGATGGTCAACGTGGTTTTATGATTTACACATGGGCAGTGTGGAGAAGCAGCTGCTTGCTTCCTTAAAGGCACAGAATTTTATTTAACTTTTTTTTTACTGTTTTTGTAATCACTGCAGAAAGATGTGTTTATTCATATTCAATTGATGAACATAAAATGAAAAAAAAAAAAAACCTAATTCAATCAGTTAAGACCATAAACATAGTATTCAGTTTATGCCTATTTTATTCAGGCTGCACCCGCTTCGGATGTTATCATCCATTAAATTGACGTTATTAATTCAATTAATTCAGTTTATTTATATAGCGCCAAGTCAAAACATACGTTGTCTCAGGGCACTGTACATGAAAAAAGAACACTCTAACTGGCTTCAGACTGTTCCGACTGTGCCACCTAGCGGGTTCTCAATCCCATAGAGTGGCTTCAGGCTGTCAAGCTGTTAGTATGAGGCATAAAGCCACTAAGGTTAATTTTAGAGAAAATGACCTGGGCTACGATAAAGTAGGCTGGACTCCGGCAGTAGCAGATTGTCTTCCAACATATATGGCACTGGTAACACACTAGGGGGCACTTTTGGGACAGTCTGAAGCCATTCTATGGGACTGATAACCTGCTAGGGGGCATAGTTGGGACAGTCTGAAGCCATTCTATGGGACTGATAACTGCTAATAACTTCCATTTAATGGACTGCAGTGTTTCCCCTACCATTATACAGGCGTCCGTCCGTCCGTCCCCCCCCCCCGCCAACGAGACGGCCCGCCCCTCTAAGAATTTCATGGCATGTAGTCATTTTTATTTAAATAAGGCCAGATCAAGTTGAGAGCTATTTTTTGCGCCCCTCCTTATCCACCTCTCGCCAAACTTGGGGAAAAGACGGCGCAGAACGAGGCTGAGCGCTGTGTGTGGTCCTCACAAAGATAGGAAGACGTTTGTGTGATTAGACGCACAGCTCTGCTTTTAATCACGTTGCACCGATGCGACAGCTTTGCAAGCTGCTTTTTCTTTCTTTAAAAGAAAATGCTACTGGTGAAGCCACAGCATGGTTACTACCTTATCAATAATTACTGCCTTTTTTTCTTTCTCTGTGGGTGGGGGGGTCAGCTTCACTCAGCTGCAGGTGAACACCTCCCGGGAACGCACACGTTTCCTGGACTATTTTCCACCGAGGATTACGTCATATTTTATATTTATTATATTTCTAAAAGCACTTCACAGCATTTCCCCCTGTGTGTTCATACAGCAGCTGTGCAGGGA